TGGAGGACAAGGAACACCATGCAACGCACTCGTCCCACCGATAAATAGCAACACGCATCAAGCGAGCCGACGCGATCATGCGTTTTATACTGTTCCATCTACCGAGTGATTGCCTGCTAATGATTTTCACAGCTTTGAATTTAAATTTGAGGGGTTCATATAAGCAAGGGACAGCTCCCTCCCCCTCCCCCCCAAATTTCAGCTTCCTAGATTCAACGATCACCGAGATAATAATTTACCTGCCAAAAGTTTCACAGGGCGATGGATGATTCCGGAGAGCGTGGGAACACTGAATCTGAATTTGTAAAGTCATAGGTGGGCAGGGGATCCTTAACCTATAATTCCAGCTTCCTAGATTCCGTCATTCCCGAGACAATAATTTACCCGCTAAAAGTTTCACGGGGCCGTATACGTTACCCGCGAGCACGGGAAGGCTGAATTTAAATTTTCTGGTTCGCATGTAGGCAGAGGACATCCCGACAAAATTTTAGCTTCCTAGCTTCCGCGGTTCCCGAGATAATGATTTTACCCGCCAAAACTTTTACGGAGCCATACGTGTTAGCCGCGGGTACAGGAAGGCTGAATTTAAATTTGTGGGACCACACATTGGCGAGGAACACTGTACTGAAATTTCACCCGCCTAGTTTTTGTGGTTCCCGAGTTGAAAGTGCGGGACAAAACGCATTCGGACACATACACACAACCCAGTGCTTTTTGTACTGCTGTTACGCAGCGCAAAACGCATAACAAACGAAATATCCAACTGTCACCGATTGGCTAGGTTGGTGTACGAATCACGAAGCTGTTGCTGGTTTGGTGAGATCTGTTACCAAAAGTGCCGGGTATCGCGGATTTAAAAAGTGGTGGATAGGGAAATGAAAATTTTTATCAATATGAATAACGATCTGTGCAGAAAACGAGAAGTTTTTACAGAGGAAGTTATGCCTTTTACAGGGAAATATGCCGAAAGACCAAAAACAGAGACAGTGAAACAGTAATCTACACAAAAAAAAACATAGACAAAAGAAACAAAATGATGTACGAAAACAACTGATACAATGCCTTTTATTCACCGGTAAAAAGATATCACGAACGAAATGATGCGGAAAAAGACATTTATTTGACACAATGCCTTTGTTTTTTTCTCATTCAACAATCAATTCGCAGAAGTTTGAAGGTCCACAATTTTACTTTTTTTTGATTGTACTATTCTCAAAACTTGCTAATTCACGCCACATTTTTGCACTAGATTTCTCTCATTCAGCTTCTAGCTGAGTGAATGCAAATAATACCCGATGGGACGAGCCTGTCTTCGACGCCGGTGCGCTGAGTCGCTGGTGGCATTGCAGCTTGTCTGCGATATACTTATATCCCTATCATCCTCTCACTCGCACCGTAATCCGCCCGAGTCACAATCCCAGTACAGTAGAGTGCACATTAAGGCCAGTGACTGGCAAGAAAATCGCACAAGCTCTTTTGGATTATCGTTTCATGGAAGACAAATATACAGTAGCAAAAAAAAAAAAAAACTCCC